TGTTTTTCCACTCAATGTCTTTGTACTGTATGTGTCGTGGTGAGTTTTGACACAGGTGTTTGTGCTCACCTGAAGAGTGGTTGTTGTTTTTTGCTGTGTTTTTGGTTATGTACAGTGTAAATTTCTGCTTGATTCAGTAGTACACATGCAAGCATGTCTGTGTGCATAGAAATTGTCTATATTTATCAAAGCAGTCTGCCGAAGGCTTCACTTGTGAATATTTAGACTACCGTTAAAAATCTGGGGCCAGAAAGATGACAGAAAAGACATTTGTAACTAGGGCTGCACGATAAATCGAAATGGAATCAAGATCGCGATTCGACAGAAGCTGCGATTGTCATGCGTATCTTTCAGTGAAGCACGGTTCTGTGATCAGCAGTAAATCTCCATCCAAAGGCCAGAGGACACTCTCGCGCTGAATCTTACTTTTTATTACTTTTTTATTTTTACTGTATTTTTTTTTTACTGTAATTCCAGTCTTTGTGAAACATAAAAGACTTACTTCAAAAACATTAAAACTTTTGGATGGTAGTGTATGTATGCAGAAATTATTTAGCACAAACTTTTTTCTGTTTTGATAAAAAGTTGTATTGAAAAAAAAAAAAGATTCGGAGGTCAGGTCTGCATTTGCTAATATCCAAACTGAAATTTAAACAGTAATATTAAGATTCTAAATGTCTGATGATCATTTAGGCAACAATTTCAACACCGCACAATGAGTTGCAATTTTCAACATATAACTAAGCTTGCAGTACGCAGTGATTTGAGGAAGCAATGATTCTTGCTTACCAATTCAAGTACTCATATGAACTTGTGAATTATTTAATTTGACAGTTTAATTTCTACACTGGTTGATCCTGGGATTTTGTAAGTCAGTGGATAAATGAATGGATCAACATGTGAAAATGAAGTATGACTCGTTGGTCTAGCAGTAACGATATGACTTTATTCAATAAACCAAAATTACATCTTACAGACAATGTATGTGAGGAGTGAGCTATGTTGCTAGCATTTTATCGTTGTTGCTATTTCACTAGAATTGCGCCGTAAAAAAGTGATAGATTGGATTGTGTATCTAAAAGCGATGTGCTGGACAGAACATTACAGCGATACTTTCCTCTACTGATGACAACCGCATTTTTTACTGCATTGTGTTGCCACTCATTGGATATTGAATAAGCTACTTTTATTATATAATCTAATATTTTTTATGAAAAAATATGTATCTATATTATATGTATTATGTGAATCCCTGCTGCAATTTACTTAATAATGTGGTGAAGACAAAATTGGCAATGGCAAAAAAAGGTGTCCCCAGACTCCCCACCATAAACTACGTCTGGTTTTTGCTGCCTGCCCAGACATTGCATATGGTTTAGTGCCTAGCCTTAATAAATGTTTGAAGTCAGTTTATTATACATAATATGCCGTTTCCTGCCTTGCTGACAATGTGAGTCAGCAAACTTCTAATGCAGCTTAAGAAACACACAGTGGATAAATAATGTTATGAGCTCTCAGCCACCCAGAATGCCTCAGGGAGAGAAATGGTGCACCGAAGCCAAATGTGTGCAGAGTTCAGCCTCATTTCACCAAAAAAAACAGTGCCGTCAATGTGGAAAAACCAGCTCCAGAAATGCAGCTAAAAAAGACCGAAAGAACCAAACCTCAAGCCACATTTAAACTAGCAGTGTTTAGGACACTCCGGAGTAACAGATCTGGATTTGGAGAGATTTTTGTGTTGGATGTGGACCACTTTTTCACCACTGAAATGTCCATATTTGTGAATGAGTTCTCTAGGTCAAACCCAGGTGAAATATTATGAGCTTAAGAGAAATTTGAAGAAAACTGTTTGTGCTTTTGTGGATTGAAATTAATGCGATTTCAGATAATATGGAACTGAATTGTCAGCCCTTTCACTGCCAAAACATTACGACTTGTCTAAAGACAGTGTGTCTAAAGACACATCTTTTTCGCCATCACCTGACCAATTAATACTAGCACTTACCTATTCTATTCTATTCTATTCTATTTGTTTTGGTCTACTTTATTTATTAAAAAAAAAAAAAAAACTTGCTATGTGCACTGTGCTGGACTAACTGAGACTTGTCACTGCACTTGTATATTGTTGGTCTGATTGCTTCTACTTTGTAAGTCGCTTTGGATAAAAGCATCTGCTAAATGACTAAATGTAAATGTAAATTACTTCCGAGCTCAATAATCAACATTCATTTGCTTTCTTTCTCTCTTGATACCTGTCTCACTGTCATTCATGTCCTTAATGCTGCTTATACTCTTGGCAAACAATAGTGCTTTTGTGTTAAAAGAGGAGATGGGACCCAAAAAACAAGTTTTGCTGATGACATCACTCTCTAAGCTTAAAAAAAATCTAGGTGTATTCTGTCTGATCAGAAAGATGTCAAACAGTGCAATGGTTTACGGTGTTTGCATTGGGTGGTTACAGTTATTAAACTGAAGAGCATTGGTATTGCATATTTTTGTTCAAAAGTTTCGGGTCGGTCTTTAAATTACGCTTACCAAGGCTGTATTTATTGATCAAAAAGACAGTAAAAACAGTAATATTGTGAAATATTTTATTTTTAAAAAATTTTTTACATTTGAATTTTGTTCCTGAGATTGCTAAGCTGAATTTTCAGCAGCCATTACTCCAGTCTTCAGTGTTGCATGATTCTTCGGAAATCATTCTAATATGTTGATTGGGTGCTTATGAAACATTTCGTATTGTTGTCAATATGGAATACAGTGTGCTGATAAATATTTGTTATATTTTTCATGATTATTTGATTGATAGAAGTAAAAAAAAACTGCATTTATTTAAAACAATTTTAATATTTAAATTAATATTTATTTTCTTTTATTCGATCATTATGTTTTTTCAAAACTTTTGAATGGTAATGTATATGACATCTGTCTGATTTTAGTTTTGACCCAGTGTGCTTACTAATGCAAAATATTTAACTGTTTGAGAGAGTATTTTACGGTGAATTTGTCTGGCAAATTAGTGCTAAGTAATACAGCCACACATTCTGAATTAGTTATGTGTGTATGTGCATGAATGAGGATTGAGACGTCACAATCCTGCTCTTTCCTTATTGTGCCTTTTGAGTAAGATACTATGAACCATCCACATGGGCTGTGTTTTTTTTTTAAGATGTGTGTGTGGGTGTGTATTTGACCCTCACCTGCATGAGAAAGTGCAGTTGGGGGCCCCCTTTTGGGGGTTATTGTATTATTTACACAGATATAAATCATGAGAATATAGATGGATAGAGTCAGGAGAGCGGGATTGTGTCTGCTTAACATAGCACTGTAGCTTCTTTTAGTGAAGTACGGCAAGCAAAATGGGCCAAAATGAATCTCGAGGTGACTGTAAGATATATGGCTGCTTGTGTCCAGAAGAGGGAAGTCTAACACCATTTCCACATGACGTACCACGGCATGAGTGTGTTCTGGGCATATCAGGATGCCGACGTGCCAAACATTAATTTTTTTAATATTTACATAAAGAATATCAATAGATGAAATTATTGTGAAGGCAATCAGGAGTGAATAGAATGTGTGAGAGTAAAGCACACACAAAATTTTGTCTGTCGCTGATTAGAGCCTATCAAAGTGGGCCGTCAGAGGTCTCCGCCGCAGTCTCCACGTGTCCCCCCTTTTCTCTCATCTCCACTTTACATCTCCCCAATTCCTTTGCCTTCTGTCATTCTCGTTCCTCCTTCTCTCTGTTTTCTTCCTCGTTTCCCTCTGTTGTGGCCGCGGCACTAGCCAGGCGGTATCGAATGTAAGCCAAGCACATCATATTTTCATGTGTTCATGCCTCTTTTTTATCCTCTGCCCTCCCTTTCTCGATATTCTCAGTCTCTCTCTCTCTCTCTCTCTCTCTCTCTCTCTCCCTGTGCTGCTCCCCCCCCTCTCCCTATTCTTTCTCTAGTTCCCTCCCTCCTGCTCCAATCTTCAGTTCAGCTAGAGAAAGAGAGGGAGTGAGTGAGGGAAAGAAAGAAAAAGAAAGAAAGAGTGAGTGAGTGGAATAATGGTGAGCGACGAGGGGAATTTCAGAGCTTGGAAACTTTTTTCTTCCACCGAAACAGAGAAAAGATCACGGGTAAGGAGATTTCTGAGATGAAAATCTCTTCTTTTTCACCGTCTAACCATCTCGCTATACTTTTTATTTCTCTCCCTCTCTTCTTTCTCTCAGGGGGTAGTGGGCCTCTTGCGCTAACTGGTGTCAGCTGTTGCAGGAAATGAAGGGATCACTTCTATCCTAGTCTTTCTCTCCCGCTCTCTCTCTCTCTCTTTCTCTTTGAGCCTGACTTTTCATGAGATTCGTATCCCTCTAAACACGGCAGAGAGAAGGGCCCGCTCAGACAGAGAGATGAATGGAACTAAGGAACACCCGTTTCACAGCTATTTATTTTCGCCGCTTTTTGACTCTGTAGATCAGATGTTCCGCCTGTTTTTTCCGCCTCGGGATGGAATACGCACCCGTCGCACATGTGACACAGGGTGAGAGACGGTGCATGCGTGTGCGCGAACGCCCCCACCCCCTATTGCTGATCTCTCTTCTTATAGCCCTCTGGGTAGAAGTCTGGTTTGTGTTGCCGGTGTCGTGGCCCTGCCTCTCTCGCTCTCTTTTTCTCTCTCTTTTTCTTTCTCTCTCTCGTCCCCCATTCAGTTTTCTGTCCTATAGGCTGATTAATCCGGATACCTTTTCTCCCCAGATTCTTTGTTTCCTTTGTTCGCGTTTTCCTTTTTCAGCAGTGCTCTGTGGCCGTTTGAATTTCCCACCTTTTTTCGCTCTCTCTCTCTCTCTCTCTCTACTCTGCGGTTCTCGGCTCCAGACGGCGGGCAGACATCAGCCTGTCAGCGTCCTATATCGTGTCTTTTTATTTGCTCTTCCCTTTGAATTTTTGTATTTAGTGGCTTCATTTGGATGAGCAACGTAAAAAGCGTTCTTTTCTGTCTCTCCTTCTCTGTCCTCTGACCGCAGCACCCAGTCAGTCACTGCAGCCAGCTCGGTGAGTTCACTCCCTTCTCTCAGTGCGTGTGTGTGATTTATACGAGAGCCGACGTGACCCGATAGTATCCGTATGTGTTGCACTGTTCTCGTGGTTCCATCATGTCTGTTTTATAATTGACTTAAAACCTCATTGCGCACATGTGAATGTCTCTTCTGCAGCAATCCGTATCGGTGAACGGAAAGACAGGTGCTCGATTCGTCTAACGTGCGATGTGTGTGTGTGTGTGTGGCCGGTGAGAGAGGTCTGCGTGCGGCGCCGCTTCTCCACGCATGTCCTCGTCCGCCACGCGCATGTGTGTTTGCTCGTGAGACCCAATGTCTTTGTGTGCAGTCCATGCTGATGGGCGTGTGTGTAACTATGTTGTGTTGCTTTAAAGTGTCCGATCGCAGTAAATGCGGAAAGGATGCTGAATTAGAGACGACGGATGGGACATCAGAATGGCGATCGCTCGGTTCTCCGCGCCGCACCGTGCCCCTCTCCTTCCCTGAGACCCTAACTTGTGACGTTCTGCTTCGATGTCCACGGGTTGGGTTCTCGGGAGCTGTGAGAGGCACTCAGTCGTCCGCCTATCCAGGAAGATCCACGGCGAGAGAGATCGTTCGAGCAGATTAAGTGGGGACGGAAGGACGGACAGGAAGAGAGACATGAGATATGGATGAGTGAGGAGAAGGTGGCGCAGTGTGGGCCTGTGCATTCGAGAGTTGAATGGATGGAAGATGAAGAAAAAGAGAGTGAGGGATCTGGGTTTTTAGGTTGGGGTGACGTTGGGCCAATCGAGGGTTTGGCCGAAACAAAGCGTATGTTTAGACTGTGAGTCAGGACACTGAAATGGCTGTGTGCGTGCATGTCTGTGCCACAGCATCTGTTACACCCTCGTTCCGCACCCATATTTGTGTGCGTCTTTTAGTGTCAGTGCATTTCTTTCCTTACAGGAAGTCCTCTTAGATGGATGTGTCCGGTGTGATTTTATGCATGCATGTGTGTTTTATCCACCAGTTTGAGAGCAGCACAAAGTACTGTTGAGAGCGTGACATCGATAGCTCGGTACACTTGTGTTTGACCTCATACAAACCTTCATCGACATTAAAAATAATCGCATGTGTTTTCTTGTTATTTTCAACCATAGGCTAAATCTCCCTGAGTGTGTGCGCGTGGGGGGTTAAAAACTGTGACTTGTTGACCGACATACTGATTTGTTAGTGTAAATATAGCGAACGATTGTTTACAGCAGCGTATGTTTCATTAGCGTGATGCTCGCAGGATGTTAATGGCATAAAATAGACAGATACCTTGAGTGTGGCTGCAGCAGAATCGCATTGTGTGTGTGTGTGTGTGTGTGTGTGTGTACGCAGCAGCAGCATCATGAGTGAGACGTCCAGAGGCCGTCACTCTGGTAGTGCTCCAAATCTCGCTCATCTCCCTCACTCTTAAATGGTGCTTGATGTTCTCAGAGTCAAACAGAGGCTATGCCGTTTCCAATTGGAGCAAGAGTACATCCTGGGCTTAAACAGTCCCGCAGACTAGATTTTATCTGGAACACTGACTCTGGTGGGGATTATGATGACAGTTTACCTTATATTTGTGCATGTAACCTATGAAGTGAAGAAAAGCAACATTAAGCTTCATACTTCATCCCTGTTGGTATTTGGCAGTCAGTATAGAGCGATGCAGAATGATGTTTGTGTTTTTAAAGATTGGTTGCCATATCAAGCTGCTAAAAAGGTCATTTAAAGGGAGTTGCAATCAGCAAAATGAACAACCCATTCCTTGAAATCATTAAGTGGCTCATTAAACTCAATTTGAACTATAACTGGAATACTTGGTTTGTGTTGTTGCACATCTATAAAACTCCTCTCTGATACTTGAAATACAGCTAAAGAGGATACTTTTGGTTTATTGACTAAATCGAGATGTATGTAGATTATATATAGTGTTAATTGGGATAACCATAACTGAGTATGTAGCATATCATGAGTATATAGCACATTCGTGTTTTAAATGTTTGAATATGTGTTTATGTATGTGTATGTGCTGTGTGGTTTGTTCTTAGATTAATGTTCCAGTATCTTATTACACTGTAGAGCATATAGTCTATGTTAGTGCATCGGGTCACGGGAGGCAAAGAGACAGAAAACAGTGCATTGATATAATAAATGTGTATTGGGTTTCTTAGATAATGGGAGCTTTTAATAACTCTATCATTTAAAGTGTAGTCTTTATAGCGGAAATATTAGTTTAAATATAAGTTGTGATTATTTTTTCTTCAGAAAGGTAATATTTTAAGCTATTAGTTTAATATGATGCCAGTGATTTATTAAGGGCAATAAAAATGGTCACATTTATTTTAGATGATTTGATGTTTAGAATAGACTAATAATGTTCTTCCAATGTAATGAAGACTATGCATGAAGACTAATCTTATGTACTGAGCTAATATTATATATAAACAAACTCTGTTTATGTATCCACGGAAACATTTTATTAAAGGGGTCATATGATGCTGCTAAAAAGAACATTATTTTGTGTATTTGGTGTAATGAAATGTGTTTATGCGGTTTAAAGTTAAAAAAACACATTATTTTCCACATACTGTACATTATTGTTTCTCCTGTATGCCCCGCCTTCTGAAACGCGTCAAAGAGAAAGGAAAAAATGAAATTGCATCATATGACCCCTTTAAAGCCTTGCCAAATTAGTTCATATTCAATACTCGCTCTATATTGTTATTGTTACACTTTCAATTTTTTTAAAGCTGAAATCTTACATTTCATTAGGAATCTTTGCCAGTTGAGATGGCAAGCCATAAAAAATAGCTGCTTGTAATCCTCTCTGCAGTTATTATAACAGTTGGACACGTTTTATAATACAACAATTAAACAAATATCAAAATACAACAATTATACAAATACGTGCTTTGATTGGTCAAGGCTCATTTATTGGTCTGTAAAGCCTGTAAATTTAAGACAGCGTAGTGTTTTCTCATATCAGAGATTGTTATAGTAACCCTAAAAATTGATCAGGGTTTGTTCATGTAAGTGGCTCAGCATTCACTCTCAGTGTTCGTAATGGCATGTTGTGTGTATTGTGGTGTTTAGCTTCGGCGAGGACATGCAGGCACCCCTCCTCTCCTCTGCAGTGTGCCACAGTGCTGGATGAAGACTATTGTTCTGGTGCCCTCGTCTTCCTCTGGCACCACACCTCACCCACCACACCAGCCCACTTCGTAAACAAGTATGTGTGTGTGTGTGTGTGTGTGTGTGTGTGTGTGTGTGAAACTGGTGCAAGGTCAGTGTGAAAATGCAGGACGGTTATGATGGAAGATATTTGCTTTAGTCACCGTGGGGGTTTGGCATGGAAATTTCGCTCCTTGTGTTGCTCAGCATCTCTTGTCCATATGCAGTAGTGCAGTAGAGGAATGCTGCTGAAGTTACAGGTTTCTTAAAGTGTCACTCCACTGATAATGTCCGCACACACGCCGTTCCTCCCACACACACACCCCGTTCCTCTCGCTCACTGTCAGAATCATGGTAGTTGGTCTGCAGTGCCAGCACACGCCCCAGGAACGCCCAGATTTTACCGCAGTACCAAAGTACCCTGAGCAGTCTCACACACACAAATACACTCACTCCACCCGCAATATGATTATGAAAACTAATCAGCTTAAAGTCACACTCGGATACATTTGCAAAGACCGTGTTTTTGCCTGCCATCCGGTTTAATTGATTTTTGGATTGTTTGATCTTTTGTTTATATTTTTCAGCGTTCACGCAGTCATTGAAAACCTGGAAATATAAGAGAGTAATAAAAGTGTGATTTGTCTAGTATAGTATACACTGAATATAGTTAAATACATTTCTGTAGTGAATATAAATTTGTCAAGTTTTGCCCTGGTCAGAAATGTTTAATTGACTTGATACTGAGTGCTTATATAGAGTAAAACAAGACTGCAAGCCAGTGTGAAACATTGATCTGTATATTGAGGGATTTATACTAAAGTGTTGGTAACGGTTTAGTATAGGGACCAATTCTCACTATTAACTAGTTGCTTATTAGCATGCCTATTATTAACATATTAGCTGTTTATTAGTACTTATGAAGCATTTATTGTAGATGACCATGTTCTACATCCTTAATCCTAACCAATACCTAAACTTAACAACTACCTTACTAACTATTAATAAGCAGCAATTTAGGAGTTTATTGAGAAAAAAGTCGTAGTTAATGGTTTGTTAATAGCGAGAATTGGACGTTAAAATAAAGTGTGACCGGAAAGGCATGTTCATTTAAATAGATTCCCTCCAATTTGAGATCTGCCAAGCTATCGCAATAAAACAACGTCTAAAAATCGTCGAAATTCGTTGGTCAAAAACTACTTCTTCCATTTTTTTTAAACATGATGTTCTTGTTTTGTGTCTGGCCATGTGTGCATGTCTGTGTATTTTGCAGTAAGAAGACACCGTTGTCCCTTTCTCACAGACGTTGTCCCACATGGCCATATGTTCAAGGCTGGCATAAAGCATCCTACATATTTCTCTATAGTCTGTCCATCTGAGTGCTTCCACACAAACAGAAAAACAAACACATACTAATAATGGTGGATTACAGTTGTCAGATGTTAAATGTGCAACAAAGAAGAATGCGTTTGGACGAAAGTGGAAAAATATCAAGAAAGAGCAGAGAGAGAGAAGAATAGCTCGACGGTTGAAGCTCATTTGTCATTTAAAAAGGGAAGCATCAGGAATGTGAGTAAATAGCATTTTTTTACCATGCATGCCCGACTGCAGCTCACCCCCTCCGTCCAGCTGATTTCTCTCAAATAAACCAGCACAGAGCATTCGGCCACAGTCACAGCCGCTGAATCGTTTGGATTCTGTGCATGAGGATGTATGTAGTCTAGAGGGAGAATGTATTTATGTCAGTGTGCTACATTTGAGGCGGATTAATCGCATGCAGTGTATTTAAATTTTTCTTGTTCGTAAATTCTCTTGTTTTCAATCTCTGGATCTTGCATGTGCCCTCTCTCTTTCCCTCCCTCTCTCTCTGTCCTCAGATGGCTTTCAGCCTACTTTCCTATAACAGAAAACAGAGCAGAGTGGAGTCAGCATTCACAGTCAGAGGCAGGCGCAAGCACCAGATAAACGCCCGCTTTAAGTGTGTGTATACTGTATGTACATGTGAGTGCAATTTAACTATGCTTTGTGTTTCTCTGTTTATCTTTCTGTCATTTTTCACAATGCACTGAGTAAGAAGGCCTGGATGGAATCTGCAGACAGTTTTCACACTTTCAGTTGCTGTGTGATTCTGTCTGATGGATTAAAACATGGTAAAATGTGGTAAATTGATCTAAAAATACATAAGTATTCTTGGTATCTAAATGAATAATCATTATTAGTGAAAGACAAACATTGCATTGCTGTGCAAATGTGCAGATTACACATGGGCCTAGAAATCACCATTCTGTGTCTCGACAGAGCTATTTATATTTCATTCTTATGAAAGATGTTTGGTTTCATCTTCTGATCTGTTTTTCTTTTCCCAACTTATGTATATTTTACGTCTGTCCTCTGTATCATCCCTCCTGCCTCTCATTCCATTTCCCAGCCACAAACACTGAGAATATTCCTTCCTTCTCTCTTTCTCTCTCTCTCTGTCTGTCTCTTTCTCTCTTTCTCCCTCTATCTCCCCCCTTCCCAACCCTCTCTCTGTCAACTAAAGCCCTTTCATAATGAATGGCAAGGTACGATAATAGCCTTTCGGTTGCTATAGTAACCAGACAGGAGCTCTGTTCGTGCTGTATTTTTGTCCTTTTTTTTTTTTTTCAAGGGGGCAAATGACAGTGGAATGTGAGGTGAAACCCTCCCTCTCACTTTCCCTCCTTCTCTTTCTCATACACTCACAGCAGATTCCCTATGTTCTTTCATATTTGTCTGCTTCCTTGCATCCTTAATATGACAAACAGGTTCATATGAGAAACCAGTTCCGTATTGTTATTGTATGTTTATGTTATAATCAGAACTGGGTAGATAATTTACTAATTTTAATCTGTTTACTGATTTCAAATTAAATGACAAAAAATGTAGTTAGCAACGTAATCCATTATATTACACATTTTAGGTAATATAATCAGACTACTTTTTGATTACTTGTATATTACTTTTGACCTATCTCGTTTTTCACATTGATTTAAATAGGATAATCCTGCACCATATTGATATAAAATTACAAAGAGTAAGAAAATATTTTCCATTTGTTGTTATCAATAACATGAAGTGCATTAAACATTATATTACGTCATGGTTTCCCAAAATGGGGTTTGTGAAGGAATTGCAGGGGGTTTATGTGTTCAGTGAAAAGCTAATAATGAATTAAATCATAAAAATGTTAAATTAAAACAAATAATTTTAAAAGGAATCAAAATAAAACACTTGCTGAAAAAAATTTCATATTTGATTTGTTTACCTTCATGTCATGTGACCATAACCAACATCAGAGAACCTTGAACATGCAAACGTGATACCTAATTATTAAATATTTATTTTAAAATCTCTGGGGTACTTCATATAAAAATATGTTAGGTGAAAGAGGATCAGATGACAAAAAAGTTGGTGAATTTGTGATTTAGTACATTTTAATGTGTTTGAAAGACAAACAAAAGTAATACATGGTCAAATAACCACTTGATACTTGATACGAGTGATACTTCAAATAAAAATTAATGTGTTGATCAGTAGTTGATGCAATGTTGAAGCACTTCTTAAGCCTGAAATGATTTTTGTAAATCCAGTGGTCAAATGCTGTTATTAAACATAAATATGTTTAATTGTTTAAATTAATAAAAATAAAATTATTTGCAGATATTTCTCAGAATGTGATGGCTATTCGTAACAGTGCATCTATAAATAAATGGTTTAAATAAATCTCATTTAGCTTCCTTGTAAAAATCATTTCAAACTTGATTATATGAGTAATATCCTCGATGCTTTGACTGATATATCAAACCTAATTGAATTCTACTAAACTATTTTCTACTCATGACACATGATACACAATGCAGGCATTTATTTTTTATTTGCGTCACGAATTACAGTGAAATAAATGCAAAAGTCTACATTATCAAGGTGCTGATCATTTATAATGTGAATGCTGTGCCCTCGTTTCCATTTGTCTGTACAGATCACATGTTCAAAGGCAGCGGTATATAGTGCCCGTGGCCTTAGCATTTATAGTGGGGCGATAAGTGGTGGACACAGATTAATCATCAACACACAGAAAAACATGCGTGTACACACACACACACTGTCTCTGTGCAGCTGTTGAAGCTGGTGGTGTCACCATAGCGACAGCAGTGTTCTACTGAAGATCCCAGCCAACAGCTGCTCTCTGTAGAAACAGTATTGATTGAGTCTGTTCCACTCCCACTTCAAAATGTGTACGTCTGTTAGCTGTCAGCATCTGCGTACCGTACACCGTATCTCAACATTTGGGTTCCAAATGTTTTCTGTGCAATAATTGCGCGTCCTTGAAGTGTTTACATTATAGTGTTGTGAGTTTTCATGTAAAGGTGGAAGCATGTGTATCCATGTATGTGCAACAGATGGATCGGACGGCTCATCGTATTCCTGCTAAAGCATGTAAAAGAGGTCCCCGATATTCGTCTTATTGTCCATCCTCTTTTCCCTCTTTGGACGTCTCCGAGGACCAGCGCGCTCTAAGACTTCCTGCGGCCCTTTAGAAGACCTCTCGCTCCCCCCTCAGCGGTTCAATGTATCATCAAAGAACGGATTAGTGTGGGCCAGCCCAGGAGACCAACTGGAGCACCTGACAAATTTAAGCTTATTAACGACAGAAAAAGGGGAAAAACCTGCCCAGGAAGCACTGAGGGATGGAGGCCGAACTCTGAGGACTGCTGATCTGTCAGCATATGGCCTGATGCTAGGCGCAAGTAATGCAAATATCTTTGCATTGAGAGAGTGTGTCTGGCGAGGAAGGTGCACCTGCAGTCAATGGAAATTATGAAAGTGGGATACAGTATCTTGGTTTTTGTCTTCACACATTGTTTTCCAGAGCTCCAGAGGCAGTCATACCTCTGTAAGGAACTGAAAGATTCTGGTTCTGATTCTGATTCCTCTTAATGATTCTGGTTCCGTTAATGAATCTTTTGAATTTTTTGGGAAAACAGAAATGCAGTTGACTCTTCACAAAGATCCGTCCCCCTTTTGCTATGTCCGACAAGCCATGCTGCTCTCACACTACACATCATGTTCTCACACAGTGAAAAATACATCGCAGAGCAAAGAAGAGACTGACAATGCGCCGACAGACAAGACAGAACAGGTTTCTTGTGGTATAAAACAAAGTCTCAGCTAGGGGTGTGCGATATATATCATCTGCGATAATATTGTAATTGTTGTTTTAACGATGTGCGATTTGACAGTGTCGGATATTTTGTAAAAACCATTCAAAACATTCCTACAGTGCGCACGCATACATTACGTGAAGTCTAGACTTTTGCGCACATTTAGAGTGCGTTCTTTCACTGCATGATTCAGTCTAATAAAATGCATTTAGAATGATCACAAAATTCAAGATATGGGGACAGAAAATGTATATATTTATATAATTTCATATAGTTCAATCAATATCACACAAAGAGGACCGTTTTTTCTCCAAAAATTACCATGATTACAAATGTAATATTGATTTTTTTGAACATTAAAGCATGTCAACATATTCTGTTACACCAAATACACAAAATAATGATCTTTAAAAAAGCATCATATGACCCCTTTAAGAGACTTATGTTTTAGACACCATATTGCTTGTTTTGCGCTATTTCGACAACAAAAATAATTCCAAACACAGCCACAATGCTGTTTTGCATCTCTGAGCAACATTTTTTGTTCCTTAGTGGCTCAGAAGATGAGTCTTTAAGTCTGTAAAAATGTCAACAAGCTGAAAAAAATAAAACCAAATATTTTTTAGGTGTAATGTAATCTTGTTAAAACAGATTTCAGAATATTGGTACAAAAAAAGTATTGTTCAAGAACCAGTATCAGTATTGGTATCAAATCAAAAATTTTTGAATGATACCCAGCCCTATCTTTGGCTCATAAGAGCATTTCCTTCGAGAAACGTACTTCACTGGTCACGCTGTATGTGTCTGATTCACTAAAGAGAACCTTTAGTCATTTGTCACGAAGAGAGTCATTTACTTGAGATTTGGACTTTACTGGTGGTACTCTGTTTTTGATTAACTAAAAAGAACTGGATCACGTGAGTCTATTACTTCAGAATCAAACTTTACTGGTTGCGCTGAATGTTTTTGATTCACTAAAACGAGCCAGATCATAAGAATCATTTACTTTCGAATCAGACTTCACTGGTCGCACTGTATTTTTTGTGCTAAATGGAAATGCAAGGAATATTTCTAGGGACATATTAACAGAATTTAATGTCATGAAAATCACTTGGTTCTGTTATTTTATTGAAGTGATTCTTGGTTCCCAACCCTACACCTCTATCACTCCTTATCACCTTTTAACTTCTCAAACCCAAGTCAGATGTCACACCATAGGACTCTCTCAATCTCATTTAATTTCTTGAATTTTTCAGAGAATTAGACATGTCCATGCAGAACATGGATGAAAGTTTTCTTCCCTTCCTCTAAAGGAAGAATTTTCTCAGTCCCATTATATATGTTTCCCAGCAGACTCATGTGGTTAACTTGGGGTTTATCTTGTCATTCAGCTTTCAACTTCAGTCTTATTTTTAAGGTTCCCTTTAGAGGGGTTATTATTAGCACTAAAAGTTAATCAAAACTCTAAAGTTGAGTAAATGTTGGTTGAACTTTTAGATAATGATAGCTTGATATGCTATTTAACAATTTTAGATTTTGGAGCAAATTATTTGGCCTTATAGGTCAAACCTGGGATTTGATTCAAATGAAATACATGAACTAATAATACAGTATGTTAAAGTGTCTGAAAATGCATACATGTAAAATGTATGACTAAACTTTTCACCCTTCTTCTGAAATAATTTTTTTTTTTACAGTTTTTTTTCTCTTATGGTTTTGTTTTTGTGCCTTATTTGTTCTCTTGGTTCCTCACTAAATGAAAATATGTGGATGAACATACATTTACTGCTAAAAGTCATGTAAATGTTAATGAACTCTTTAGTGACTCCATTCCCTTATATAAAACTCTCTCCACACCCTTCTTATAGTCACGTTCTTTCAGTATCTCGGTTCAGAATGAGTATATAGGGGACTGGAGACTGAGTTTTGCCAGCCCTCATAATTCAATGTTAAGCTTATCATGGCTGAGTGGCTTTTTATCCAGGACTTGTTCGCAGTCGGCGCTGTTTCTAATCCTCTCCACACGTAGGTCTGTGTCCCGTCAATGTGCGTTTCTTTCCGAGGAAATTTCCATAGCAATACCACAATAGTGCTGGGTGTTTCTAATGAAAAGTGTCTGAATGAAACACAGAGAAGTAGCATGGTGGAGAACAGAATTTTATAGTAAATCAACAATAATGTGTGCTATGTTATATAATATGTTTAATAATATTTTTATTTTAATGATAATTTGAATATAGTAAATATGTGATATATTGATTATGAGCTGTTTGAATATTTCAAATAAGAGGCGAGATGACCGTATGAAAGGGTTTAAATGTGTGGAGGCTGATCATATATGAGGCAAAGACTGCAGCTGATAGAGTCACTTGCCGTTGCTTGGAACAATAATATGACTGTTCACTGAATCATGTCCTGTTTAATTTGAATGGCATGACAGAGTGAGTGAAAGACAATGAGAGAGAGAGAGATAAAGAGTGCAATAGTCATGAGTCTCTATAGTGATATCACATTTACACTTAAAATAAGCCATTAAA